TAGAGAGTTAGAAACATCAATGAGAGAGAAACATCGACCAGCTGCCTGCAACCAAGGTACATGCCCTTGACCAGAATCGAACCTGACACCCTTCACTCTGCAGGCCGACACTCTATCCACTGAGCCAAACCGGTTAGGGCTCTTAAGAATTTTTGATGTTCCATGAAACTCAGGTCGGTGATATATGTTGCAAATATTTCCTCCAGCCAATTGCCTTTTAATTTTGCTTACAGTGTATTTTGATATTTGTGTAGTCACATTTATTACTTTTTCCCCTTATGGTCCCCTTATGGTTTGTGCCCGGGAGGAAACCATAAGAAAAAATTGGTTTTTCTGTAATAGGGGCAGTGCCCATTTCCAAGCAGACCGTTTCATTCCAGCGTTGTAGGGGTGGGTAGGGCAAGGCTTTTCCTTCACGTCACCACCCCTTCCACCCCTGCCTCCATCTGCTGTTAGATTGCCCAGCCTCAGTTTCGTCGGTCCTGTGTTCCTACAACCTTAGTTGGCGAGTTCTCCTTATCGGATGGCTGGTGGTATATATTTGTTGTTGGGGAGCATCTCCAGGTAGACATGCATTAGACAGGTGTCACCCTAGCCTTGACATTCATGGAGAGATGGCAAGTTCATAGCTGGTGGTCTGCCCAGGACAGTAACAAAATCAGCAGTTTACTATGAAGGGACCATCCCAACACTGGTTCTCAGTGTTGGAACCTAAAAGATGGTGTCTCAGAACTCCCTTTCCCATATGAATGGCCTCTCCCTATCTTTTTTACTAGCTTTTCCAGCCTTCTCTTCTGCCTTTGAAAGGGGTGCTTCCATCTCAGATGGAAGGAAGAGAGGCCTTGGGGGTACAAAGTTGAAGAACTGCCTTTTAGGTATGGTGGTCACCTCCACCCTGCTACATACCCAACATATGCGTTTCTTTCTCTGTATTAGTTTCCTAAGGCGGCTGTAACAAATTGCCACAGATCTGTGTGGCTTAAAACAACAGAAATGTCTTCTCTCACAGTTCTGGAGGCCAGAGGTCTGAAATCCAGGGCCATGCTCCCTCTGAAGGCTCTTGGAGAGAATCCTTCCTACCTCTTCCAACTCCTGTTGGCTCCTGGGGCTCCAATCGCTGCCTCTGTGTTCACATGGTGTTTTCCTCTGTCTCTCCATGTGTCTTCTCTTCTTACAACGATACCAGTTCCTGGATTTAGAGCTTACCTGAAATCCAGGATGATTTCACCTCAAGATCCTCAACTCGTTTCATCTGCAAAGACCCTGTTTGCAAATGAGGTCACATTTTGAGGTTTTGGGTAAACATGAATTTTTTGTGTGGGGACACTATTAAACTCACTGCAGTTACTGTGGTGGTCACCACTGTTGTTCTACATAATGAAAATATGCCTTTATTTCTGGTTTTATATTACTCATGAAGTTAGGTAAATCAAAACATAGCATCTGGTTTCATTATTCATGAGATCATCTGAGGAGCTCTGTGAAGCTTGGAGCCAGTACCTCATGCTTTAACGTTCAAATGAGGCCAAATCCTCCTTTCATAATGCACACATATATCAGATCATGCTGATGTACAGTTTAAATATCTTAAAGTTTTGTCAATTATCTATATATTAGAGCCTGGTGCACAAAATTTGTGCACGGGGCGGGGGGTCCCCTCAGCCCAGCCTGCACCCTCTCCAATCCAGGACCCTTTGGGGGGGCAGTCGGACATCCCTCTCACAATCCGGGACCACTGGCTCCTAACTGCTCACCTGCCTGCCTGCCTTATTGCCCCTAACTGCCACCCCTGCTGGCCTGGTCACCCCCAACTGCCCCCCTGCCAGCCTAGTCGCCCCCACATGCCGCCCTGCACGCGCCTGGTGGCCCCCAACACTGCACTCGTGCCCCATGCTGCCTGTTGCTCGGGTCATTTGGTCGTCCCTCACTGACCCCACTGCCAGCCTGGTCGCCCCACGCAGCCTGCTGCTTGGTTGGTCGCCCCTCACTGACCCCCCTGCCGGCCTAGTTCCCCCATGTAGTCTGTTTGGTCATTCGTTCGGTTGCGATGGTTGTGACCAGTCAACCAGTCGCTATGACGTGCACTGACCACCAGGGGGCAGACGCTCAATGTAGGAGCTGTCCCCTGGTGGTCAGTGCACTCCTGCAGTGGGAGCGCTGCTCAGCTGACCGATGGGCGCCAGAGGCTGGGCTCACAGCTTGCGAGTGCAGCTGTGGCAGTGAGCCTACTGAGTGGTGGAGGCAGGCGCAGCGGGGCCGTGATGAGCAGGAGCGGCGTGGTACCCACCCGGGCTCAGGCTCCTCCCCTGCCACCTGCCACTTCGCGAGCTACTATATCCCTTGGGAGATGTTGGACTGCTGGTTTTGGCCGACCCTGCAGGCCACTCCGAGGGACCCCACCGGTGCACGAATCTGTGCACCGGGCCTCTAATACCTCAGTAAGGCTGGAAAAAAGAGAAAATTCTGTTAAAAAATTGGGTCAAGCCCTGACTGGTTTGGCTCAGTGGATAGAGCATCGGCCTGCGGACTCAAGGGTCCCAGTTCGATTCCGGTCAAGGGCATGTACCTTGGTTGCGGGCACATCCCCAGTGGGGAGTGTGCAGGAGGCAGCTGATCGATGTTTCTCTCTCATTGATGTTTCTAACTCTCTATCCCTCTCCCTTCCTCTCTGTAAAAAATCAATAAAATATATTTTTTAAAAAATTGGGTCAAACCTGAAAGTATTGTTCTCTGACTTGAACATCAAGGACTAGGGATGTGAAAGGGTTAGCCTCCTGCGTCCCCAGTGGATCAGGCAGCTTATTTCTGAAGTGCATCTGCGGTCTGAGAGGCATTGAGCTTTATTTTAGGACTCCTTTGGAATGTTTGGTATTCCTGTTATCTTGAAGCTCATTGGTGTCCCTGTAATAAGTTAAAAGATCTTTCAGCTAGAGTTTTCAAATTTCTAATTTGTACATTTTCATGGCATTATTAAAAGGATAAACTTCTAAAAGTAATTCATAGTGAAAAAAGGGAGCTCTGAGAATTTGCGGGTAGCTTGTCAGGAATTTTTCTGGTGTGGTGTGGATATGAATGTGTTTAGTTCAAGTATTGGGTACACCGTTCACTGCCCAGCAGCTCCAGTTCTGAGTCCTCATCCGGAGGAGAGACAATCATAGAGCCCAGTTTTAGGGTGTTTGTGTGGATGAAGTCAGTGGTTTATGCAAAGCACTTAGAGCAGGTCTGGCACAGGCAAACACCTACATATTGTTAGCTATCATTTCAAATAAATTTATTTCTGAGGGCATGCAGATGGGAGGGGCGTTACTACTGAAGGCAGTTTTGCCTTATGTGATCAGGGGATGTGTATTCTCTAGGGCACATGAGGATCCAGCTATAGTCATGTTACTAACTTACAAAGTTAAGTATGCATAGCTTATTACTTTCTTAAATAATATCTGGAGAAAAAGAACATGCTTAAGTGACAAATTTTAAGACCAGGGTGTTAAAATACATTTTTTTAATGTGCTTAATGATTTTTAGAGAGATAGAGGAAGGGATTCTAGATTTTAGAATAGAGATAGAAACATCATTGATTGGCTGTCTCCAGCATGATCACACCCTCTGGGGATCGAGCCCACAACCTGGGCATGTGCCCTGACCGAACCACCATCTCTTGAGTCCTGGGTTGATGCTCCACCACTGAGCCATACCGGCTGGGCAAAAAAAAAATTATATGACTCATTGTAGAAATTTTGAAAATAAAAGCAACAATGACCTATGATCTATGGTAGACTTTAAAATAACATTTATAAAATAACATTTACACAGCTAATGTCTTAAACTTGGGGCACCACTAATCATCTTCACCCGGGCTGCTTTGGGGAGTCGTTAACCTGGCATGTCGAGGTGGAGTCGTCTCACGCATGCGTCCTGATGTAAATGAATCTGAGCTATATGCCAGGGACAGGGAACCTTTCACATCCAAGGCGCCCGCCTGGGCGGGAGGAGAGCAGGCCCCCAGGCCTCTGGGGCTTTGGTGAAGGGGCCTGGCCGTGTATAAGCCTGACATCCCTCCCTGTCCTAGAAGCCAGTGCCCCCTCCTCCAGGAGGAGCCGGGGACTTCAAAAATAAGAGACTGGGTTATCCAAGAGGAATGGATATCCCCCAGGGGGCCTTTGCCTCCAATGCCCCTGATCTGGCCGTTGAAACTCATCAGAAGAGTTGGCGCCTAGCATCTGGGCTTTGCTGGAGTTTAAATTCCTCCCACTTTGAACATAAGTAAGTGATCTATATACATAAAATGGATAGGGCCTGTTACAAACGGATCATTTACACACACCCCCCTCCCCTCCCCGCCCCCGCATAGTGAGGACAATTTGTTTGCTTGTTGAAGTGCTTGTACCGACCGGCCAGCCGCCTCTCCCGGCCTTGTCTGGGATGTCAGTGAAACCTTACCCGTCCACGACCTGTCAGCTTCTGTTCTTTAAGAGAAACAGGTGGTAAAGGGACAAAGTGGAAAGGGGCCACTCAGGAAGAAATCTATTGTATGACAGCTCACCGGCTTTCTTTCTCATCTGCCAGACTCCTAAGGGAAGGAAGCTGTGCTTTCTTTCTTTGAAGCCTTTGTGGCTATTCTGACCTCCCCGTGTGTTCGCCAGCAGCCCTGTACACACAGCCCTTTCCGAACCCCGAGCCGCTGTGTTCTGGGCCTTTCCAGCCCCCACGAGCGCCTCCCCTCTCCCTGCCGCCTCCACCCCGCGCCCCACCCCCCTCCATCCCAAGGCATCTGTGCCCAGGGCTCTGATTGGTGCGCAGTGCAGCCTCGCCTTTTAGGGACTGTCCTCGGGCGTTTACAGTGATAAGGGAAAGGGTCCAGGGACTGCTTTTATCAACCAATCAAATATTTTCCTGACAGGTCCCCAAATATTCCCGGGCCAATGGCAGGGACAGGCCAGGATGCCTGGGCTGCTCCGCTCCGGGGAGAGGCCGAGCTTCAGCTGCGGCAGGCGGGGCAGAGGAGCGCAGGGAGCGCAGGGCCGGCCAGCCCCGCCCGGCGCGCGCTCAGGATTTGTCTAGCGCCCCGCTCCGTCACGGGGGTGTGTTGGGGGGAGTCCTCTTTCCGGCTGTCGAAATGGTTATCAAAGTGTTTGTTGCCACATCTTCTGGGTCCATAGCGGTAGGTGTCGGATGGAATGTGTGGGCGTGTTTCCTAACCTGTTTTCCTGGGAAAGGCGCGGGGCTCTAAGTTGCGGGGCTCTAAGTTTCTGGGTGAGGGGGGAGCCAGCCGGGCTCCGGGGAGCCGGGGAGCCTGCGCGCCCTGCGTCCTGCGCTTGTGTTGGAGAAGTGTGTGAAGTGTGTAACCCGGTGCGAGAAGAGGCACGAGGGAGGGGGCGTGCTTGATTCTAGGATGTTTATCAAGTGTGCGTGTCCTGTTGGGTCGCATATATTCTAGAATCAAAGATTTTTTTGTTTTGGTGTGGAGTGTTTTTGCCATTCATCCTGCAAGATCGATAAAAGTTGCAAAAAGATATGACACATTGTGTAACATATTTGGAGCTAGGAGAGCCAGATTCCTAAAATGACTCCTGGGTGAAATTACTTGTGTGTGCAGGAACCATACCCAAAGTGTACCATTAGCGTGTGTAATGCTATTATTTGAGGAAGATGATGTCACAGCGGCAGGAGCAAACATCGCTCGGGCCCCAGTTTTAAACGCTCTAGGCATCCAGGCAGACCCAACATGGGCCCTCAAAGCCGACCTCCTTGCATTGCTTTTTCCTCCGGACCCGGCTGGGAATGGCTGGGAATCGCTGGGAATCGCCCCTCCGTCGGTCCAATCCCAGCCTTCATTCTGGGCAAGAGAGACAGACCTGCCTTCAGACACAGGGGCGGTGGACGGCGATTCAGGCTTTGGTACGGACATTTCCACCAGCATTTTAGCAGACGTTTGGGAGGCTGTGGAGAGAAAAGGGTTTGATTAATCCTGAGAGTTGGAGACCAGCGAGGGGGTGTTTCCTTTTATATCCAGCTCCCTGACATCTCGGGGCAGCTAGGGTTTCAGGCTCACGCAGCCGGGGACCATGCCCCAGGTGAGCCGATGGCGGGAGCAGTTCCGGGGCCGCTGGCGAAGGCCACCACTCCGAGCTCACCGTTTCCAGAGAGGGCGAGCGGAAAACCAGAGAAGGGAGCCGGGTGTCTGTTCTGAGCCCAACTGAACGGCAAGTGTCTAGTGGTTTCTAGAACATCTTTTAACAGAAAAAATGAGGAGAAATTCCAGATGTAAAAACTGCAAAACCTTCCGTGGCTGTGGCTGACCTCAGAAACTCTTGGTTGACCTGCAGTGAGCACACATTTTTGGATTATTTAGGTGAAACGAATTTTGGAGGAAAATGGTCTTGGTGGGCTTTAAACTTGCTGTTGATATTCACTGCTGGACACTTTATCACTGACCTGCCAGCTCCTCATCTCATGTAGACCAGGTCATCCTTCCGGAGGCAGTGAATACACTGGTGGGTTTTTAGGGTTATTTGATATCCTACGTTCCTGAAGGTTGAGCTTGATGTAGTTAGCCTCGGAGGGCCTGGAGGGGTATCGTTCATTCCAGGATCTTGGAAAAGTCAGGTTAATTCTTGTTCCCTGAGCAAATGTTTTGGTGCCACTTGGAACCGCGTGACCTTGGGAAGGTCATTTCACCTTGCAAAGCCTCGATTTCCTTACCTGTAAAACAAAGGACCCTCGTAGCACTCACCCGACAGGCTGCGAGGACTTAGGAAGTAACTTGCCTGGTGCCTGGCGTCGTGTCGGGTGCGTCAACAGTGCTTAATAAGTATTATAATTGTTAGTTACTGTCAAAATTATTAGCTCCGGTTAGTTAGTGCCAGAACAGTTATAACTTGTAGTTATTGTAATTGTTAATATTAATCAATATTATAGTAGTTGTTATAATTACTAGTTAACGCTAGTAGGTCTGAGTCTATGATGATTATTTTTCAGAAGCATTGTCCTAAGCCACATAAATGGAAGAATTTCTGTCTTATCCTGAGGCATGAGACCTGATTATTTCTGTGGGGTCAGTGCTAATGAATTTTCCTGGGGGGGGGGGGAGCGTTTCACTAGAAGCTTCTTTTTTTTTTTTTTTTTACTTTTTGTTAGTTTTTATTTTTTTGCCTTTTTCATTCTTTTATTTTTTAAAATTTTTTATTAAGTTATTACATACGTGTCCTTATCCCCATGTTACCCCCTATCCTTCCCACTCATGCCCTCACCCCCCCGTTGTCTGTGTCCATTGGTTAGGCTTATATGCTTGCATATAAGTCCTTTGGTTCATCTCTCCCCCTTACCCCCAACCTCCCCTACCTTCCCTCTGAGGTTTGATGGTCTGATTGATGCTTCTCTGTCTCTGGATCTGTTTTTGTTCATCAGTTTATGTTGTTCATTATATTCCACAAATGAGTGAGATCATGTGATATTTATCTTTCTCTGACTGGCTTATTTCACTTAGCATAATGCTCTCCATTTCCATCCATACTGTTGAAAGAAGCTTCCTTTAGGAGAACCGCAGGGACGGTGCCAGGGCTTGGGCCGTGTGTGGTGCTGGCCTGTCACACCTTTACTCCTTCTGCTTTTGCCTGTTTGTTTCAGAAACGAATTCTTGCCTGGGACCTCGTCAACAGGGCAGCAAGGCTTCTGTTACATGAATGACATAAACGAAAAATGAAAAAACAAACGATAACTTCTTTATGAGGGATTACACATATACTCTGGGCATTATAGCTCTTGGCTTTTTTGTTGTTTTGTTAATCCTCACCTGAGGTTATTTTTTCCATTGATTTTTTGAGAAAGTGGAGGGGGAGAGAGAGAAACATCATTGTGAGAGAGAAGCATTGGCTGCCTCCCGTACGTGCCCTTGACTGGCTCGAACCTGAGCCAAACCGGCCAGGGCTGTAGCTGTTTTAATAGTTGACATTAAAGTGAGGTTGCGGGTTTTTACGGTGAGGCTTGGGGCCGGAGAGCCTCGGAGGGGGAAGCCTGTGCCTCTTGTGGGACCCTCCTCCTCCCCGAAGGCCACTGCCCCGCGGGCTGGGGGACACAGGGAGAGCGGCTGGTCCTCACCGATTCCAGTGCGCACAGCCCTGCAACCAGTCTTTGGGACAGACCCTCATGGTGGCTCCTGGGTTCCTCAGTCCTCCCTCCAGCTCTGAGCGAGTGTAAGAACAGTGGGAAAACATGGCTCTTGAATTCCATGGATCTGGGTGGAAGCCTTGGAAACTTCTTTAATTCGCTGACGCCTCAGCGTTGTCATTGGTGATCAGCCCGGCTGATGTGGCTCAGTGGTTGAACGTCGACCTATGAACCAGGAGGTTATGGTTCGATTCCTGGTCAGGGCACATGCCTGGGTTGCGGGCTCGATCGCCAGTGTGGGGTGTGCAGGAGGCAGCCGATCAATGATTCTCTCATCATGGATGTTTCTATCTTTCTCTCCCTCTCCCTTCCTCTCTGAAATCAATAAAAATGTATTAAAAAATAAAATAAAATGGTAATCAGAGTGCTTACCTGGCGTGGCGATCAAGTCAGGTAACCGGGTAAGTGTGCTGCTGGGTGTGTGGCACAGATGCTTTCCCACGATCCTCCTGGATTCTCACCAGAACCATGAGGAGGGCGCGCTCTATCCCTTTTGCGGGTGAGGCGGTCGACCAGCTGCGCCCCTGCTCCGACAGCACCCTCTGAGCCAGGATGGCGACGCAGGCACCTCTCACTCAAGGGCACTGTGCTTGCTGCTACAGTACAGTGACCTCGGTTGGAAAGGCTCCTAACTGTACAAGACAATAAACAGGCGAGTGACCCAGAGAGCCCTCCGACACATTCGTGTGACCGACAGTGGCTGGGTGACTTCAGGACAGAGAGCAACACTTCTGTCTGAGTGTATGTAACAGGAAGGAGGACAGAGCTCTCGGAGCCAATGCTGAGGTCCCAAAGGCTCCAAAGGGCACAGGCCCCAAGGACCCCCTGATCCTCAGGAGGGGGCCCACCTTCATGGGGCCACCATTGGCCTGCCACCCTGGGGGGGCAAGGAGGAGAGGTGGAAGGGGAGTGTGTCTGGTGAGGACTGCTGGGTGCTGTGCGTGCCCCTCCCCCTGAAGCCATGAAGGGAGGCGCCTGTGGGACTGATGCCTTGTCCCTGGAGGTCAGCTCAGGAGGCACATGGAGAGGAGCTTCACTTTGACGGAGGGCCCAGGGGGGCTTCTTGAACAGAGACCCTCAAGGGGAGGGCTGCAGGCGAGAGTCCCTCCCGCTCAGGGTGGGCATCAGGGTGTGGGCGAAGGCCACCGTGCCAGCCAGGTGAGCGAGCTCACGCGCTCCCTGCTGCCCTCTCCCCTCTTCTGGCCTCTTCCTAAGACCTGTCTCCAGCCCTGGCAGAACTCAAGGTCAAGGGCTCCAGCCAGATGCTATGCTTTTGGCCCAGTTGAAGTTCCTGGTGTTTGGGAAATGCAGAGGGGCACATTTAATTTCTCTTCTCTTTGGGCGGGGGGCTGAGAAATAGCATTTAACACAGTGTCGTGCACCCAATAGTCAGTTAACTCCCCAGAGATGCAATTGCTTGTCTTGTGAGAAATAACAGCAAACAGATCTCCCCTCCCCTTTTCTCCATCTCTGACTTCCTCACGGAAGAAACCTGTCAGGACTTCGGGAAATGTTTCTCATCTATTAATCATGGAGTCAAGTGAGATCCCTTTTCATCCCACTGCAGTCCTGAGGGGTGATTAACAGAGATGACAATAATGTGGGGGCCTTGGCCAGGCTGATTCGACTCCTGGGAGGTATTGAGAAGGAAGCAAGATGGGTTTGGACAGAATAAAGGACGTTGTCTTCTGAATATTAATAAAGGCAAAGCTGCCTAAAATGAAGACACCTCTACTCTTCAAACAGCAGCGCTATCTCTGACAATACCTAAAGGAATAAGCATTTCTTTATTTATTTTTATTATTATTATTATTTTTAAAGTATTGTGTCCAGAAACACAGACTAGGTTTTTTGTTTGTTTGTTTGTTTTTGTTTTAATATATTTTTTATTGATTTTTTACTGAGAGGAAGGGAGAGGGATAGAGTTAGAAACATCGATAAGAGAGAAACATCAATCAGCTGCCTCCTGCACACCTCCTACTGGGGATGTGCCCGCAACCCTGGTACATGCCCTTGACCGGAATCGAACCTGGGACCCTTGAGTCCGCAGGCTGACGCTCTATCCACTGAGCCAAACCAGTTAGGGCTAGGAATAAGCATTTATACAGCGGCAGGAGTAATCATGGCCAGGTTGGAAAGTATGTAGAGAAAACACAATTCATTAAGGTAATAATTTAGTCCAACAACCTGTCATCAGGTCCGAAGGGATTTTGTAATATTCAGAATCCAGCCGTGCGGCTGTGGGCTAGGGATTTCCTGAAGGAGGAGAAGGTCAGGGCTCCCCCAGCGCAGCCTGGGGGAGGGCGCAGGGTGGAGGCAACGCAGGTCCTCCTCAGGAATGTGCCGGAGCGCTGAGGCCAGAAGCTCACGGAAAATTCCATCCCTCCACAGCTTCCTGTGTGACTTTTATTTTTATCTTTTGTCCACGCTTGCCCCAAACTGAAATAGATATTGTAGCACAAATCTTACTGATTAAGTGTTGTATGGTGGTTAATAGCTGCCTTTAATTTATTGATCTAGTGCTTTTATTTGCAATATCTTTGTTAGGTTGATGGTACAAATGTTAATTAAAAAGCATATGTGTGATTACCATATATATATATGTGTGTATATATAATTTACATATAATTTCCTTTATGTTAAAATTTAAATTATTTAATATTAATTTTATATTTATAATTAATGTAACATGTACAATCAAATCACCACCAAAAACACATTATACAGAGTTTGTTTTTTGGTGATGATTTGATTCCAGGGCTTAAACATTCATACGTGCCTTACTTTTCCTTTAATTAAGAAATACGCTAGCTCTGGCTGGGTGGCTCTGTTGGTTGGAGTGAGTTTGATTTCCCATCAAGGCATATACCTAGGTTTTGGGTTCGATCCCAGGTCAGGGTGTGTGTGGGAGGCAACTGATCCATGTTTCTCTCTCACATCAATGTTTCTCTCTCTCTCTCTCTCTCTCTCTCTCTCTCTCTCTCTCTCTCTCTCTCTGTCACACACACACACACACACACACACACACACACACACCATAAATAAAAACGTATCTTGGGTGAGGGTTAAAAAAAAAAGAAATAGCACTCTATACTCAACTCGTTGATCGAATCATTCACTCTTGCAAAAATGAATAAAATAATTTGTTTGGCTTCCTAATCTCTGTGAAAGGAATTGGGTTTAGCCAAAAGAGGGTTTGACTCCAGACATCGGTTTGGGAAGGGCACGTGCCTTCACGCACTTACTTGGAATTCTCAAAGTCTACTCTGCTGGTAAACAAGTGATATGAAAACAACAAGGGGCCTCATGCCCTATAGACCATTTTAATGACTGGATTTCATCATTAAGCAATATTCAGAGGACTTAAAAATTAAGTTATTGGATATTTTCATGTAAAAATACTTATTTAAAATTTTAATCTTAGTTTTAAAAATTGAGCATATTTTGCCTCTATTTTCTTTAGCTTGTTCTATATCTAGTTTGTGCAAATGAGTTTTTTACATTTTTTCACCTTAAATAAACAGCTTATGAATCTACTTAAAAATATTTTTATTGATTTCAGAGAGGAAGGGAGAGAGGGAGAGAGAAGCATCAATGATGTGAGAGAATCATTGATCGGCTGCCTCTTGCATGTCCCCCACTGGGGATCGAGCCGAAACCGGGCGTGTGCCATGACCAGGAATTGAACCATGACCTCCTGGTTTATAGGTCGAAGCTCAACCACTGAGCTACGCCGCCAGGGCCGGCTTATGAGTCTGTTCAGATGAAGAGCTTGGGCACAGTCTCGGGCAGAGTAGAGTCAATGAGTCTGTGTGATTGAGGTTGTTACAGTCTGCGGGCCAGAGTCTGCTGTAACTCGTTTACCAGGGTTTGGTAGAGAGGGCGTCACACATTTCTGTGATGTGCCTTGGCTGAAGAGAGAAAACTGGAATTGTTTCTGGAAAGGATTCTAAGCTTTAAGGATGGCCACCTCCATCGGAAGTCATTGGCGTGAACCAGGGGCTGAGAAAGGTGCGGTGGCCTTTCCTCTCAGGTGTGGCTGTCAGAGGTGGTGTGAGCCAGCAAGGAGCAATCTGTGGGAGAACAGGGTGTCTCACTGTGTTCCGCTTGTACGCCAGCAAAAACCTCCTCCAGCTTTTCCCACCAACTTTTCCTCTGTCCTTCCCACCCCGTCATCTCCCCGTGGGCTTCCCAGTGTCCTGTGCTAGTAAAGCTACTTTTGTGAATAAGAACGTGACTCGGGTTCCCATTTTCATAACTGTGACTAAGTGCGTTTTAGTGGGGGTACACCTGGTACCTGGTATTTGAGTTTCATAGTAAATGAACTTTTTTCTCTTTTCTTCTCTCAATCATCATTTTTCTTCATAACCAATTCTCATTTATTTTTTGGCATTAAAGCTTAACAAGGAAGAGCCCATACAGAAACCATGACGAAAGCAGGTCTGTTCTTACTGGGTTGGCTATACCATGGTTTAAACATTGGTGCGATGAAAACTTCAGAAATTATGTAATCACTTTGTTTACCCTTTATAATGAAGAGGTGTGGTTCTCTTGTTTTTTGTTGTTGTTTAAGTACTTTATGAAATTATTTGTGTTGTATAGCACAGTTGGAGAAAGGATTTAATTTATGTAAATATAAGCAAAGCATTAAGAAAAATGAGTCTAATAGTTACCTGTCTCTCCTTTGACCAGATTAGGAAAAAACAGCAAGAAGTAGTGGGCTTTCTGGAAGCTAATAAAATCGACTTTAAGGAATTTGATATAGCCGGAGATGAAGACAACAGGAAGTGGATGAGAGAGAACGTCCCTGGAGAGAAAAAACCTCAAAACGGGATCCCTTTGCCTCCCCAGATCTTCAACGAAGAGCAGTATTGTGGGGTGAGTGTTTGGTTTCTTGGAAAATCCTTCTGTGTGTGTGTTTCTCAGAATTGTTTAAAGCAGATTAATTTGAGGCAGCATTTGGAGTTGTTCACAACTTTCAAGTCATGACCTGTTTCTGCCATCCAATAGCTGGATGGTAGAGCCATTGTGAGTAAGCAGCATTTAAGATGTACAAAATGGTGGAAACAACAAAAGGATGATTCAGAAGTTCTTGGGATTATTTTAGGTTCCTTATTTTATTTTGAAGAATTGAGGTCAGTTGTTCAAACAAAATGAGCCTTTAGTTGGCAAGGAATTCTAGTCCACCTGGCAGTGGACGCATATATGCACCCACAAAAACACAGGGCAAGTTTTCACTTTCATAACGAGTGATTTGCAGAAGTTAAATCTTACTGTGGACACAAAATAAATTTGTGTAAATGTACCTAAGTAGTTTAAAAACTGTACTGGACATTCTGATTACAACAGCAACTTTCTTTTCTAAATTTATTGGTTCATTTCACCACAAAATCACTTTTTCTTTAGAGTTTACAGATTCTATTTGGTACATCAAATTGTTGAAAAGACACATTGAAAAACTCAAAGGACTTTAGAACCTAAGGATTGGAAGTTACTTTAGGGGTCATCTAAGGTCACTGTTCTTTTTTAAAAAAATCCTCACCCGAGGACATGCTTTATTGATTTTAGAGAGAGGGGAAACGAGGGGGGGGGGCGGAGAGAGAGATATCAAGTGATACAACCTACGAATGTGCCCTGACCAAGAATCAGACCTGCAACCCTTCAGTGTACAGGACGACACTCAACCAACTGAGCCACGCCGGAGAGGCCTGCTGATCACCTTTCAGATGCAGTGACCAGGGCTCTGGAAATCAGAGGAACTGATCAGTGCTGTGCTGCTTCTCAAGGCTGGAACGGGGTGTAGGAATCTTAGCTCACCTTTTCACTATAGCTGGAGGGCCAGGTCCTGCAGCTACCTGTTTCAGTCAAGTTTTACTGGAACACGTCCCCACGGATCCGTTCACCTGTTGCCCATGGCGGAGTGCTCTCCGAGGCAGAGTTGAGTCATTGCACCAGAGACCACAGGACCCACAAAGCCCAAACTATTCACTGTCTGCCCATTTACAGAGACGCATGCGGAACTCTGCTTTCAAGCGTGAATTGTTTAGTTTGGCGGTTGACATTAGATTCCTAGGCCTGTGGTAACAAAGTACCACGAATTTGGTGGCTTAAAACCGCAGAAATGGATTGTGTTACAGCTCCGGAGGCCAGAGATTCTAGATCCAGGTGTCGGCAGGGCCGGTCCCTTCCGGCGTCTCCCAGCCCCTGGTGGCCCCACATCCTGGCCTGCCTGGGCTTGTGGGGCATCACTTCCGTCCCTGCCTTTGTCTTCACAGAGCATTCTCCTGAGTGTCTCTCTGTGTCTTCACGTGGTTGTGTTATAAAGACAACACCCTAAGCCAGTAACTAATTCCATCTGTAACCATTGTATTTCCAACTATGTCCCTTTCTGAAGTTCTGGGTGCACATGGATGTGTGGGGCCACTTTTCAACCCCCTGCAGGGCTGTATTTACTTGGCTGTGTGAGCTTTCTTCAGTGGCTTTGCTCAAAGTTTTGTGGACGTGGGGGTATTTTCAGTCTTTTTAAAAATATATATATTTTTATTGATTTCAGAGAGGAAGGAAGAGGGAGAGATAGAAACATCAATGATGAGAGAGAATCATTGATTGGCTGCCTCCTGCACGCCCTTGACCAGAATTGAACCTGGGACCCTTCAGTCCGCAGGCTGACGCTCTATCCACTGAGCCAAACCAGCTAGCTGGCAACGGTTCTCAACCTGTGGGTCGCGAACAATGAAAATACATCCTGTGTATCAGATATTTACATTATGATTCATAACAGGAGCAAAATTACAGTTATGAAGTAGCAACGAAAATAATTTTATGCTTGGGGGTCACCACAACATGAGGAACTGTATATTAAAGGGTCACGGCATTAGGAAGGTTGAGAACCACTGGGCTAGGGCGTATTTTCAGTCTTAATGTGGCAAGCGCTTATTTTGTGGAACCTACATGGTCCAGTCCTACTCTCTGTGGATTTGAAGTGAGGCTTCCCAGAGCATAGAGAGGACTTCCTCTGAGAGGAAGACCTTCCCCTTCCTCCCACTCCTGTCCTCTCCCCGCCCTCCCACCTCCCCACATCCTTCCCCCAGACCCACATTCCTAAGACTTGTGGCTCTTGGTGGATGAGGAAAGTAGCTCTTTTGCTATCATACTAGTAGATGTTACATAGTTTTTCACCTTTCTTATTTGTCTTTTGAGTTTTTAAAGTGATGTTTTTTGGAATGCAGAACTTAAATTTTTTTGTGTAGACAAATTTATTAATCTTTGTTCTTTATGGTTCTTTCAGTCTTGTTTAAAAAGGCCTTCTGTACACTAGAATTATTAAAAGCATCATCTCATGTTTTCTTTTAGTGCTTTTCCAGTGAAAGAAGGATTTTAAATCTCTTCTTATTTTAACCATGCTTTTACATTAAAACTAGTGACAGACAAGACAATATTGAGCAGTGTATTTCCAACCTATGCTAACTCAGAGAATAAAAGTTCTGTGAGGATTTTCTGCTATAAAAATAAAACCTTAGAGGCCTTTCGTATCCTGTTTTGCTGTGATCTCGCACTTATAATTTTTTTTTAGTTGTGGAGGAGAAAGAAAGGGTGTTCCAAATAGGAAAAAAAAACCCTTATATTTAAAAAATATATTTCCTATTACAAATATGGGTCTAATGAGATGAACATTCACATTATTTTATGTTTAAAAATAACTTTTCAGCACGTTCTGCCTTCACAGAGATATTAGCAGCTTATCTTGCTAGCACTTTTGCTAACTTTGCTTTCCTGTAGCCCGTGGACAGTCTAACACAAGTGCATTACTGAGGCGGAGGGCTTTGTTTCCAGAGTAGGTAGAAACGATAGTGTGGATTGTAGGTTTCGATTTTTAAAAGAAAACTCAAAGGACCGGAAGGACATGTCCGTTTTAAAATGGCATAAACCTGGACGGTCAGTCACGGTATCTTTCTACCCGGTTGAAATGTGCGCTGTAAGAATAACGCTGTTATTTAACGTGAAGCACTGGTCTCAGGGGTCTCCAGTGGCCACTCACGGGCCAGGCCTGGTGTGGCGCAGGTGGAGGAAGCTCCGGGCAAGCAGTGGGTTGCTCTGTGCCCGGGCCGGGAGGGGGCTGCATGGCAGGGTAGTGCTGGGGCCCGAAGTGCCTGCAGGTCCGAACTGCTGCTCCGGGCAGCACAGATGGAGATGTTTCCCCGGGCTTGGCAGACAGCTGTCAGCTGGGAAAGGAGACACCTGCTGGGGAGCCAGGCTCAGAGGAGGCCAGAGGAAGCAGCAGACGCGTCTGTCGCTGCCAAATTGGAGCCTGTGATCTTAGCCCAGGTGAGGGCAGGGGTGCCTGTCTGGATCCAAGCACAACCAGAGGGGACCTTGGCCATTCAGCAGAGAGGCAGTGTCCTCAGGGCTGCAAGGGAGGGCAGGACGAAGCCCAGTTAGGTGCGGGGAGGACTTTTCAACACATGGATGCCATTAAATTTTATGTCATTAAAAATCTATGATGAGCCCGGCTGGTGTGGTTTAGTGATTGAGCGTTGACTTATGAACCCGAGGTCATGGTTCGATTCCGGGTCAGGGCACATGTCCAGGTTGTGGGCTTGAACCCCAGTGTGGGGCATGCAGGATGCAGCCAATCAATGATTCTCTGTCATCGTTGATGTTTCTGTCTCCCTCTCCCTTCTTCTCTGAAATCAATAAAAAAAAAATATTTTAAAAAATTGTGATGAAATATGTCATATGATAATGACATATGTGTAAAGACAAGTAATAGATGAGCAACCATGTGCGCACCACCCAGTGTAAGAGGTCCGATGTGCACAGACACGTAGACGTCCCCGTGTGCTTCTCCCCATCCCGCACACCTCCCTCTGCACCAGAGGCGGCAGCGTGTAGTGACTTGCGTGTTTATCATTCCCTTTCTTTTCTCTATCTGCAGTGTATATGTACCTAAACAATACACTGTTTTGTTTTGCCTATTTTTTATTTTATTTTGTTTTTGTTAATCCTCACCTGAGGATATTTTTCCATTGGTTTTTAAGGAGGGTGGAAGAGAGAGGGAAAGACAGAGAGAAACATCGATGTGAGAGAAACACATAGATTGGCTGCCTCCTGCACGAACCCGGACTAGGGCCCTGGCTGGGAAGGATCCTGCAACCAAGGCGTGTGCCCTTCACTGGAATCGAACCCAGGACCCTCCGCCAGCTGACGCTCTACCCACTGAGCCAAACCGGCCAGGGCTGTTTTGCCGATTTTTGAGCTTTATATAAATGGACTCATTACATGTGTTCTTCTTTGACTTGCTTCTTTTTTTCTTTTTGTTAATCCTCACCCGAGGATATTTTCCCATCGATTTTTGGAGGGGGGGGGGCGGGGGAGAGGGACAGAGAAAAACATTGATGTGAGAGAGACACATCGATTGGTTGCTTCGCACACCCTGACCAGGGCCAGGGATCAAGCCTACAACTGAAGTTCACGCCCTTGACCGGAATTGAACCCAGGACCCTTCAGTCCGCAGGCTGACACTCTGTCCACTGAACCAAACTGGCTAAGGCTTGACTTGCTTCTCTCACCAACATATTTTAAAGACACACCCATGTTGATTGGTGTTGTTCATAGTTCATTCATTTTCACTGCTTCAGAATGGACATCAGAGTGTGTCTTAGTCCATCTGGACTGTGTAACAAAATACCACAGGCTGGGTAGCTTATCAGCAACACAGGTGTTTATCACAGTCCTGGAGGCTGGGAAGTCCAAGGTCAAGGTCCCGGCACAATTGAGTTCTGGTGAGGACTCGCTTCTGTGCTCACTCCCAAAGGCCCCACCTAATGCTGTCATCTTTGGGGGTTCAGACATTCAGACCAAAGTGTGGTTTCCGGTGTGGGCTGTCACAGTGCTGCTAAACAGGTGCTCTCCACAGCTCCCTGGTGACGGGCGAGTTTCCTCGGTCCTGTAACGAGGGGTGGAAAAGGTAGGTCACAGCTAGCAGCATGTTTAGCTTTAATGAATAATACAAAGTGTTCTTTTATTATTTATTTGTTTATATTGATTTAGAGAGGAAGGGAGAGGGAGAGAGAGAGAGAAACATCAGTGATGAGAGAGAATCATCGATTGGCTGCCTCTTGCACACCCCCCACTGGGGATCGAGCCCACAACCTGGGCATGTACTCTGACCGGGAATCGAACCGTGACCTCCGGGTTCATAGGTCAACGCTCAACCACGGAGCCACGCCGGCTCGGCGACTACCTGGTTTTAGGTCACAGTTGTCTCCATTTTGCCAAAACAACCTCTGTGCTAAGCCCTCCATAATCCTGTGGCTCCTGGTCTCAGAAAGCGTGAGAGGAATCTGGGTCCTCAGAAGCTATTATAATAACAGCAGAGAAATCCTGTGCTGTTTTAGTCTCTGCTGGTCAGGTCTAATCCATGGGCCAAGTTGTGAGGCAATCAGCCAATGATGTGCAACTTCTGGAGAAGCCTTTGGTGTGTATAGCTGAGTCTTAGCAGTTCCTGAGAATGAACAGTGTGAGTGCATGTGTGTGTGTGAGTGTGTGTGTGTGTGTGTGTGTGTGTGTGTGTGTGAATTCTCACTACACTGTAATAGGCACAAAGTGTGTAAAAACAAATGTCAAGTTCACAGTTAGATTTCTTAACTTTGGGATTAGTCATCTTTGGCCAAGCAAACTGGCATAACGTTTTGTGTTGGCTCCTAAATTAATGGCAAATAAAAAAAGAGATCAACTTAGGTAAAAATCCTGGCTCACAGGTGTGCAATGGGCTTAAACATTCTTTTTCTTTGCTTCAAGGATTTTGATTCTTTCTTCTCTGCAAAAGAAGAGAATATTATTTATTCATTCCTTGGTTTGGCTCCCCCTCCAGGCTCAAAGGTAAGCTTGAACACCCTATGGGGTCCCAATACAGGTCCTAATAAATGAAGCTGGAAATCTGTTTAATAAATGAGAATATTTAAATCAACATGATTTTAATACACTCCTTATTCTGATGAAGTCTTATGCATAAAGATAATGCAAGTTTTTTACTAACACATGTTCCAAAACTGTGCTTTTCATATTTTTGCTTCATTATATTTTATCATAAAATAAAAATAAATAATAAATAAAAGTTTTACAATACTTTAAAAAAGAAATATCATTGCACTCAATAGTCTTAAGTGTGCTAATATGTAAAAATATGAGTTCCCAGGTTGTGTTTATGAAATTTTGTTATGAATTGACTTCTTAGATAGTTTATATTAGTTAATTCTAAAATTATACATCCACTATTTTAATTCTTTTTTATTTAAAATAAATTAAACTCTGCTTCTTTAGTCTGATAAAGAGGGAAAAAGTAAGATCTGGATTCAAGATCAAGATAAATTTTATTAATTTTCTCCCCCCTGGTGCTGTTTCATCTTTGATTAGGTATAATCATGTCTATTAAATAAATAATTATGCTGATAAAGTTAATATCATGAATTCGTCTATGATGTTCACCGGCTTCACCCCATGCAATGGCCACTGCATTCCTTGTCTCTACCAAGATCTCATACAGGACTCTCCGTAGATACAAGACGTTTCTTTCTTAATTCATTTATTTGTTTGTACCCTCCTTCATTTCTTTTTTTAAAATATATTTTATTGATTTTTTACAGAGAGGAAGGGAAAGGGACAGAGAGCCAGAAACATCGATGAGAGAGAAACATCGATCAGCTGCCTCCTGCACACTCCCCACTGGGGATGTGGCCGCAACCAAAGTACATGCCCTTGACTGGAATCGAACCCGGGACTCTTGAGTCTGCAGGCCGACGCTCTATCCACTGAGCCAGACCAGTCAGGCCCCACCTTCATTTCTAAAGAGATTTGTGATGACTGAGCCCAAGTCTATTCTCACTACAGGAGAAACCATTCAAAATCCGACCTTGTAGAGATGGGCTTGCTTTCACATGTCAGCAGTCTCAGGTAATGGCACTGAGGTGTCTTAGCGCTAGGCTGACACACGCAGGCCTGGCACTAGCGCCTTCTCCAGGTGGTAACATGCAGATTCCACAGCTGTTTTTGAAAATTTACTGGCTCAGAATTTTTTTATTATACAGAACCCTGCAGTGACTGTCACCACAAAATAGCGCTCTTTCTTCCGGAGTGTTTCTTTGGGGCACGTTCCCAGTGGTGCTTTCAGTGAGGCAGGCCGAAGTGCCAGGGCATCTTATGGGCTTCAAATGTGACTCCAGATTGCCCCCTGCTAGGGCAGAACGTGAATCCCGCCGCGCCACGCTGCATCCCCTCCACTGAGCCAACCATGAGCGTGCTTAATCGCCTTGATTTTAGGGCCATTAGATCGTATTTTTAAAAATTGTTTCTGATTTTTAAAAAAATATTTTATTGATCTTTTACAGAGAGGGAAGGGAGAGGGATAGAGAGCCAGAAACATCGATGAGAGAGAAACATCGATCAGCTGCCTCCTGCACACTCCCTACTGGGGATGTGCCCGCAACCAAGGTACATGCCCTTGACCAGAATCGAACCTGGGACCCTTGAGTCCACAGGCTGACGCTCTATCCACTGAGCCAAACCAGTCAGGGCTGTTTCTGATTTTATTGTGCTATGGAGAGGGAATGTGGTGTGAATTTCCATCACCTTTGTAGCACAATGTGTATTTTTATTTCCCTATGAAAAGACTGTTTTGAATATTAAAAATTAGTTTTCTTAACAAGCTAATGCGTGTATAATATTGGGAAGGTCAAATAGTGCTACAAGGATTATTACAAAAGCTGGCAGGCCCTGCCCCAACCCTGCGGTTTAACATTTTCTCCAGTGGCTGCTCCGGTGCAGAATTCTGGGTGGACGTCATTTGGCCTCGGAATTGAGAAGGCGCTGGCCGCTCCGTGTTCTCTAGTCCCAGAGTTGCCGCTCAGAGGCCTGACGCCAGTCTGTCTCTTGACCATTTATCTGCGCCTGCGTTTGTTCTCGTTTCTGGGAGGTTTCAGGATCCTCTTTTTCATCTTGAAGTTGTCTAACGAGGTGCTTGGAATAGGCCTTTTCTTCATATTTGTGCTGGGCCCTTGCCTGCCCTCTTCTGTAGAGAATAGACCTGCCCATTTGGAGGGGGAGGCAGTCATTACAGAGAAATGATGAGGCCACTCTGTTTCCCATCCCTGTTTCCCTCCCATGAATTAAAAAATCCCATGAATTAAATACCGTGAACTAAAAACACACAAACACATCTATTTATAAAACTATATGTTTATCTCCACCAGCAATACATATGTTCTTCTATATTTTTAATGCCAAATTGGTATCATATTTTTTGGAATGTTCTGCAACTTGCTTTTTAAAAACAACAACATTGTTTTGAGATGTATCCGTACTAAAATATGTACATCTATTTCAGCTTCTGCTCCCTTTCATCTGATCCCATTTAAAAATATTGAATCTCGGGTTTTAGATCCCGCCCTGGTTTGTGATTAGGTACCGTCACAATGCATGACATTCTCTTTCACTAAGTGGAAGAGAGGGAAGTCCATGGATGAGAAAACCGGCCTAGAGAGACCCCGGAGGCCAGCCAGTCCCGATTCTTCTCTTCCCAGAGGAGGAGCTTGAGGCCCAAGGAGCTGAGGTGATTGGCACAAGGCTCGTCCAACAACTAGCAGCACAGCCCGGCTAGAGCCTCTGGTGCTGTCAGTGTTCACAGGTGTTTATGTGTGCACACGGGAAAGTCCTTCAGGTTTCCTTTGGGAAGACAGACCTGATGATTTATGGAGGTGATATTACAGCATCTCCGTAAATCATCAATTGTCAGCGTGTCCTTTTGTAGTAAACAACATTGTGGAGAAGTCAGCAAGGAAATTAATCCTGTGCTAAGGCTAAAAATAGACATTTGACGATTATGTAGAAATGTATGCTTATGAAATGAGAGTAAGCGCTGTCAGCAGCATTACGCTTTAGACAACTTTTCTTGTCTTGGGCGGTTATACTAGACCAAGTAGCAGGCCAGTTTCCCAAGAGGCTCTGTCATTACGCTGTGTGGCCATAAAGTCCACCTTCGTTCTTCACAAGCATCTGGTCACATCTGATTAAATGAGCGCCATTCTTCACCCACACTCCAGTCAAGGCCTTGGTTGCATAACCAGTTTCCAATTCTGCCCTGGTAATAAGGAACACAGATTCTTACTGAGCCAGGCAAATTATTGTATTGCCATAAATAGCAAAAAGACTCAATAAGCATTGTTAAATTCTGGAGGGGTCCGGCAGAGAGAATATCATGTACAAACATTTCCTTTCAACTTATAAAAGCAGAGTCTATTGCATTGTTATGGTTTATAAGAAGCTTAAGAGGAAAGACAGAGGGCTTCCTTATATATGCAGAATATAGAACATGAAGGTGACATCAACAGTATTCCAAACAAAAACAACCATCTTCCCTTGTCAATTCATTCAGTCCTGTGTAATTGATTCTTGTTCCACTGGATCTGGGGATAGTAGTCTATGAACCCATCTGCCCCTTGACTGCAGTTGTGGAAATCCTGACTTAGTCCACTGGTATGGTCTTAAAGTTCTTTAAGTGATGCTATAAGAAGCCGGTGCCCCTAAGCACATGGCAAGTAATCTTTTTCTGTGGAGCTCTGAGCAGCCATTCTACACGGAAGAGGAACCATACTGGCCTGTAGCGGATTGCAAAAGCTTTTAGGGAAGCATCAAATTCAACAAGCTAAGGAATATATCCATGGATAACAAAAGACCTAAAATGACGGTGGTTAATTTATTACTGGTAATTTTCAGATATGAAAGGCTTGATGAGAATTATAACAAGATTAATGCACCGGACAAGAAATTTGTTTTTCCCCCATGTGTCATGCAAAAAAATAAAATAAAAAGTTAATCCAAGAAAGTTTGAGAAAAATATCTACATACATAGTCACAAAGGCTATTTAAAAAAAAAGACAGCAACAATTATAATTTATTTGAAAAAGTGGATGAATATAGGAAAATGTTAATTTTCTAGAGACAAACTATACTGCAAATAGCCAAAGCATGTGTACCATGCAATATACCATGAATGCTAAGCATATTCTTTTTTTTTTTTAATATTTTTTTATTTTTCGCTTAAAGTATTACAAAGGGTATTACATAAGTGTCCTTTTTTTTCCCCCCCGCCCTTGACACACCCCTACCCTCCCTTACCCCCCAGTGTCTTATGTCCATTAGTTATGGCTAAGCATATTCTTACCGTATGTGGTAGGGATATATAAAGACAATCAATAACGAGATCTAGTAGGCCTGGTCCGAGTCACCTGTATATTAATAAAGCTATATGTAGATGACAGGAATCCCCAGTTGAAAACTACTGTCCTAGAACATGCTGCACGTATTGAAATAGTTTTGCCATCACTCAAAATTGCTTTCAACAGAAGCACTAATTCTACCAGAAAACGAGTATCGAAACGTTTGGTTACATGTCAGTTTTGACTAGATCGAAATGAAAGGAGTAAAGTTATGACCAAGTTAACACTTAAAGCAAATAACTGAAGTTCTGATCGATAACCTGCACCATCATTGTCAAATGTCAGGCGAAGAAGCACTAGGATCAGTGTCTTTTATGCCTTATTTTAGTCAGGGGAATATTGTTAAGATGCCAGTGGAAGCTGTCCAGGTAAGTCTGTAAAGAGATTTCCCCCTAACTGGTAGAGACAAGTGCGGTCATGGCAATGTTAGAGCATTGCATTTACAAAATGCTGTTGGGGTGGACTGTTTCACCTGGGTCATTCCCTGGGCAAGGGGCCTGGAGCAGAAGGCGGGAGTGGCTCCCCAGAAAAGCAGCGGCAGGTAGACCAGGACTACCTGACCGCCTTGTCCCTGCTGCAGCAGCAGCCACAGGGCACGTCGGGTCTTAGCGACTTGGAGCTGGCCCAGAAACTGCAGGAAGAGGTACCAACAGCAACAAGGGGTCCAGCCTGTGCCAGCACGGGGAGAGGAGCCCCACTTGGACACCCGGCGGGAGAGCGGCGGCCCTAGCGAGAGTCTGATTGTGTCCTGTAGTGCTGGGTGCCCAGGGCCTGGTGCCCGGTGCCAGGCTGCCCTGCCTCTTCTTTCAGAGGCCATGGCTATTTTGCTTGCTTTCCCAGGCCAACCCCTGAGATATGCAGGTAACTTATTCATGGACTATTGGGGATCCGAGCAGGAAGGAAATGTCAAGGTCACACTCAGTGACATCCTTGCTCACTCGCTGCGGTCTTCTCTTCCTCCCAATCACCCAGGCAACAGTGGGACTGCTGGGGTGAGGATGCGTGATCCCCTACCCCCTTTCCCCAGAACATCCCACTAATATACAGACTCGGGCTCCAGGCGGAGGTCCCTGCCTAGAGTGCATCTCCCCTGCGTCCCCCCTGACTGGCGGGGTCCTTCTGGCTATCCTGCGGGTTCGTCTCCCTCTGCTTCAGGATTTGGTTTGGGTTTCTGTCTTCATTATTGTAATGCCTTCCTAGGGGTTTGGAAATAACACTTGTCTCATAAAAAAAAGGGGAAAACATTTATTTGCTTTGTTTATGTGCCTTTATTTTCTTGTCTCTAAGGTGTGAGTGGTAGTGACTGTCCGACTGACTGAGGTCACAGTGCTGTTGCAAAGATAAAATGAGGGATGGAGACAGAATAACTGGGATAGTTAAATGATGTTGAAATGCAAGCTATTATATCCTCAAAGAAATTCTCACACCCTTTCAATCCGTCTGATGCAGGCGACACAGCCGCCCGAGGAAGAACCGTCCCTGCCCAACGGCGAGGTCGTGGGCGAGGCGCAGGGCCCCGCAGAGGTAAGAGTGGAATCTCGGACCTTCTTCCCGCAGACCGGTCTCCTCAGAATGCCAACGTGGTCCTGATCTTCCTGTGTCTGTCTGTCCGTTCGCTATCATCTGTCTGTCCTCTGTCCTTCCTTCCATTCCTCCATTATCTGTGTCTGTCTGTCTGTCTATCTGATCTTTGTGAATCTCTAACATGATAAAGCCTCCTTTCCACACGAACAACAGAAAACAAACACTGCCTCGACGTGGAACCCTTCGGCGTCTCTCCGTGAACCGTAGGTGGGTGGAGACTCCTCACGTGGGAGGTGATTACTCCATCACGCTCGCCAGTCAGACCTGTTGAATCTCACCCAGAGCTCCAATCAGCAGTTTCGATGGGGGGCAATCCTATACCCTAGGACAGTGGTCGGCAAACTGCGGCCCCTTGAGTGAGGCTCTTTCACAGAATACCATGTGTGGGTGTGCAGGTACAGTGCGATTGAAACTTCGTGGTCACACTCAAGGGGCCAAAGAGCCGCATGTGGCTCTCGAGCCTCGGTTTGCCGACCACGGCCCTAGGACAGCGATTCGAACCGCTGTGCTGCACGAATGTGTAAAACAGGCAGCACCTGGCTATTAGTCAGGGCACTGACCTCTTCCCCTTGGACGGTCAAGTCAAAAAATGACAACAGCCAACACAGTAGCTGTCTGGTGTGAATGAATCGAAATCATACTATTTAAAAAAGTCAGATTGGCAAAAAATGTAACATTTTTTGGTGTGCTGCAGAATTTTAGTAGTGAGTTATGCGGGCCAGGAGATGAAAAAGGTGGGAAATGGCTGGCTGGGAGCCACGTGGCCGCATCAGCAGGAGGCCTGCATTTGCTTTGTGTGTGTGCTGTGCATCCAGATAAAGCCCACAGCACCTATGGCCCAGGTTTCCTGGGAGCTTGTCTCGGGTTAGTGACACAGTGGCTTCCTTTACGACCAGGGCACAGAGAAGGCCGGAGAAAGTGGAGAAAATGAGGCACCGAAAGAGGACAAGGAAGATGAGGGCGACCTCACCGAAGCCCGAGAGGAGAAGGTGAGAGTTCGCCTTTTGCGCCGCAGTCTCACTGGCCGCAGCTCTGTTCACGAGCACGTGTGAGCTCCTACCAGGGGCAGGAGCCTTTCTGGGCACAGGGGTGAGGGTGGAGGTGCGGCGCCGGGAGTCTCGCCAGGGAGGAAGCAGGTGGTTTTCACCGGACGTGTTAACTGCTGTGGGGGAGGTGGGTACGGGGCTCAGAGGAAGTCGGAGGAAGGACCTGAACCCAGGTCTGGGGGGCAGTCTCCACAGGACTTCTGCGGTTTGTGGCGTTGTTAGGCTCAGGTGGGTTCCCTATAAAACAAGGGGCCTTATTCCT